ATGAGAATCATCTTCTTTTGTGCTAACTGTTATTCCGGTTTCCACATCGTCGCAAAAACAGTGTTTTTTTTAAAGAAAAAGACTATTAGCGACGGTATTTTTTGCCGTCTCAAATAACATTTTTAGCGACGGTAAAATAAGGCCGTCGCAAAAAAGTCAAGAAATTTCAAACGTTATTAGCGACTGCACGGTGCCGTCGCTATCTTTTCACCCATTTTTTCATCTTCTTCTCTCTCTTTTCTTGCTCTCTCTTATTCATCACTCTTCTCTCTCTCTCTGTCTATTTGACTCTCTCTCTCTCTGTGTCTCTCATTCATTTATCTCTTCTCTCATCTATCTTCTCTCTTTTTCATTGACCACAAAAATTAACTTTATTTTAATGAAAAATATTATTCCTATTTTTACCAAATAAAAAAATAATAATTATTTTTTATTCATTAAAGTAAATATAAAATAAATATAAAACAAATAAATTTTTAACTTTACCAAATGAAAAAAGAAATTCATCAACTATAAAAATTATTTTAATAATATTTTATTTTAATAAAAAATTCATTAACTATAACATTTGTGGGTGTGTGGGTGTGTGTAGGGTTTTGTTTGAGAACACACACAACACAAACACAAACACAACCCAAACACAACAGAGCCGTCCCTCTCCTCCTGCTCGCTCTCTCTCTCTCTCTCTCCATCTAGGGTTTCGCCTTCCTCTCCTCCAAGGCGGCGGCGGCGGTGGCGATATGTGCAAAACCATCGAAGTCGCCGTCGTAGAACCACCACAACTCAACCCTCTCACGAAGCTCTCGCCGCCGAGCCTCGACGACTTCGACCCCACCGACGACGACGGGTTTTATATTCCTCCTCTGAACTTCGCGATGGTCGACAATGGCGACGTCGTCAAATATGTTGAAGTCCTAGCACTAGGTGTGGGAAACTTCAGATTGTTCAGAATCATAAGACTATATTTCAGTGGATTCTTGAGTTACCTTTGAGAAATGGGGGAAGCTTTTAATGCTTTGTGCAATCTGTGCTGCAAGCTCACCTTGAGGGGTGAAGCCTAAGGATTCCGGGTCAGATTTTTAGAAGATTGTCCCTCTCCTCTTGCTTTTCTTTGTCACTGCATGTTGGGGGCTCATTTCCTGGAAAATGCTTTAGGAGTGTTAGTGCATTATTACCTTCTCATTCCTTAAGTTTTGTTGCTTTAACCTTGCTAGTGTAGCAGAAGTTCTATTGCCTTTTGATCTGGAAATTTTAGTTGTCCTTTCTGGTTTGGTCTTTTGACAAGGCCTAATTCATTATTGCCCTGTTCTTAATTTAAAGGATATATTTACCAACAGAAATGATGTTGTTTGATACAATATTATAGCAGTGCTATTAATTAAAACAATTGATTGACTGGTTTTGTTTATGCAGGTATTGAGGACACTAGCATCACATTTGGACCTGTTGAAGGTATACATTGGAATTTGGGTTTCCATTACACTAGTTTATGTTTTATGTTTGACAGTTTCTGGGTCTTAGTGTGATTGTGGTTCGGTTTTTTTTTCAATTACAAGATTTTTCTCTACTTTTGTCTTTAAGTAATGATTGAAAATATCAGAATGGCAACTAAAAAAGGGAGACAACCTTACACGATGTAAACATATGAAAACAAAAACCATGTAGTCTCCTATATATCTACAGGGATATCAAATCCCCCAAAAAATTCAACAAAACCTGTACTTTATGTGCATGTGCTTATTATTAATGAAAAAAAAGTTAATATTAGTTCAGTAAAGAAAGCTTAATCCTGGTTCTATGTGAACTAAGCTCTGGCTCGTGAACACTTTCATAGATCTTCCAGTGCTGTTTCTGTTAGTCAAGGGTGTTGGGAAGGGATTAGGCTCAAACTTAAACATTGGTATTGTCTGCAAAAATTGGCTGCCTATATAGATTTGACACCCTGTTCTCACTTTGGCTAGTACTTCGTGTATTTTTAATTATATATACATTTATTAGTTTCATTTTCTCTAAAAGAAACTCTGCAGAGCTGTGTTGCATTCATATGTATTTCCATTATCATTTATGGTTGTACGGCCCGCAGGCCTATAAATACCCCACTACCTACTTTCTTGATGTGGTTATTTTTTCGTTTGAGTTCTGGTTATGGTTCTTTCTCCACTCTTTCAAATTACTTGACCATCTGATTGTTCACTTGATAATTGCACTTTCTATTTCATCTGCCTCTTTGTGCCTGTAAATTACGAGAGATAACGACATTTGTCCTTACAAAATTCTTGGTGTGCAGCTAGTGGCAGGCCAACACTCAATCTAGAAAGACGTTTGGATCATGATGGACATCCTCTTGCCATCACTGCAGCCGATACAGTTGCAGCAAGTGGAGTTTCCCCTTGGAATTGGAGAGAGACCCCAGGAAATGGTTAGTCTTGTTAATTATATTCAGTGCACATGTGAATTATTTAGTTAAAATTTGTTGAGATATCATCATGTTTGTGTCTTTATGCTTCAACTTGCTTGTTGCTTTGGGTTTTGCACTTTATTCTGTAAATTCGTGTTTTGGTCACAGAAAAACGCTTTCCATGGGAAATGACTTACCCTAATGAATATTTCATTGCATCTTTGCACAAGTTTGAGTGACCAGTTCTCAACATTTGAGGAGATCATGTGACCCGTGGAGCTCATTATGCCAAGTCTATAGCTTCAAATTATATATATATAATCTCCTCCATTTTGGCAGGTGAGCAGTGTAACTCATATGATGGGAGGGTTATAACTGTCAAGTGGGGAGATTACACAAAAAGAATTGGTATTGACGGCACTGCAGATGCCATCAAGGAAGCAATCAAGTCGGCTTTTAGATTGAGAACAAAGCGTGCATTTTGGTTAGAAGATGACGATAATATAGTTCGGACTCTTGACCGGGACATGCCTTTGGGAAATTATACTCGTCACCTTGATGAAGGTAATGAATACTCACATCCCAACCCTAGTCTTTGTAATGGCTTTTATGTTCTCTCAAAATGTTTTCTAATTTGCTCATTTGAAGTTTCAAGTATGCCCCTTAAATCATAATACCTGCTATTTTTCTTTTCAACGAAGTTTCTTCATTTTGCCACTTTAAATGTTTGATTTTGTTAAAATTTTCTCTCATAAAATTTAATTTATTTGTCTCTCTTCTCTCTCATATTTTTTTCTGCACCCCTCTATCTCTATTTTTGTGTGTCAACATCTTGACATAATTTCATCAGCATATGTACACATTTGAAATTATGATTATCATAATGTTCTGGAACTAAAATTAAAATCAAATAACTATTAAAAATAAACAAAAAAAGAAAAATAATTCATTAATTCGAGGACAACTTGGATAGATTGATAACCAAGTAGGCCTAGCTTATTTGGCCACTATGACTCTCCTGAGGGCTTAGTTCCCAAGTGTTGCAAAGGTAGGGAGGCTAACTTCCATATGTGCTAATCTAACAATTAATAACAACTAACAACTGACTTTCGCCGATTTGGGGGAAAAAAAAAAAAAAAAAAATTGGATTGATTGATACAAAAACCTCAGTTAATTGTTGTCATTACTGATTGTTAACTCGGGTTTTCTGTTCTCAGGGTTGACGATAAAAGTGTGCCTGTACGAGGAGTCAGAACACATGCCAGTCCACACAGAAGACAAGACCTTCTACACTGAAGATGATTTCCAGGACTTTATCTCGCGCCGGGGTTGGACATTTCTCAGAGAGTATACCGGGTACAGGAACATTGATAGCATGGATGATCTTTGTCCTGGCGCAATATACCGTGGTGTAAGTTGAAGCCAGGAAAAGGATGCTTGTTCAGCTTCTGACGTGAAACATTTGGGAAGTAGACTTGATGTAATTTTAGATTTTAGATTTTATTATTATTTTATTTTTTTTTAGGATTTGGGTGAATTTTATAATTTAAATATGCTTTTATGAACATGTACAGTTTAATTGTTCTTTGTAAAATATTGAATTTGATGGTTTGATCAATTTTTATTTTTGTTTTCTGTTATGATGTTTTTGTGAATGAAATGTAAATAATCAGCTCTTAGAGAGAGAGACACGGCACCACCGTCGGAAAAAAAGACGGTACCACCGTCGGAAAAAATAAAATTTTTAATATTTTTATTAATTTTGTTATAGGTTTTACTTTTTGCGACGACATTATATTGTCGCAAAAAATAGAAATTTTATTATTTTTTAATATTTTTTGCGACGGCATTACACTGTCGCTAAAAATAGAAAATTTCATATTTTTTATACTTTCTGCGACGGTATCACACCGTCGCAAAAAAATGTTTTTTTTAAAAAAAAAAGATTATTGGCGACGGTATTTTTTGCCGTCTCAAATAACATTTTTAGCGACGGTAAAATAGGGCCGTCGCAAAAAAGTCAAGAATTTCAAACGTTTTAAACGACTGCACGGTGCCGTCGCAAAAAGGCAAAAATGCCGTCGCAAAACATTAGCGACGGCCCTTACCGTCGCAAAAACTCTTTTGCAACCCCTGCAGTTGCGACCCCCCTCTTGCCGTCGCAAAAAGTTATTTTGCCGTCGCAAAAAGTATTAGCGACGGCATTAGGAGTATTAGCGACGGTATTTTACCGTCGCAAAAAGTCAATTTTTTTGTAGTGTAATACACATGATATAACCGCTCTGATACCACTTGTCAACATAAATTTCAGAACATGAAACTTCATGTTTTGGATCATCTACCATGTATATCATCAAGAAATCAAGACAAAATGACATACCTGAATCCATCGATGAACGGTTAAACGGAAGCGTCTGATTGTCAATAAAACCTTGATATTGACTATGTTATTGCCTTCTAATCCTTTTCCCTTTGGTGCCTTATGTTTCTCCTTGAGAGGATTTAGAAAAACAAAACAGTGTTATTATTTTTTCACCTTAGGAAGGAATAGGGATCATAACCTTTTAAAGGTTGTAATTGGTTTTCATAACTGAAAGATAATGAAAACCAATAAATTAACCATTATTGGTTTTAAAACTGAAAGGTAATGAAAACCAACTTTAACCAATATGTTTTAATTTCTATTTCTGCCCCTCATAGAAATAGAAATTATACAACTAGTATCTACACATTAGGTCCATAACACATATACCCTTAAGCCTATTAACTAAATTGAATCATTTAAATTGTAGGCTTTTTATAAATGATAACACCACATTTAATTATGTGGTCTCATTGAGACATTATCTAACACAAATGTATTAGTGTGGCACTTTACAGATCAAGGTATTTTTTCTGTCCGCCCGGCATATCACCTGGCCATGAATACGAATTCTCATTTGACTCTTTTCTAATCTTCTGATTGTGTTATGGCACACCGATGGTTTCGGTCCAGAATTTGGAAGCTCCATTTACCAAGTTAGATAATAAAAAAAAATAAAAAATCCTGGAAACTTTGTTTGAATATTTTACTAGGTTTGACCAATCTTGGCAAGAAAAAAGTGTGGGATATCAACACATGTTCTCGATGTAGGGTTATTACTTTCATAATTGCGAGTTTGTTAAGCATGTTTAGGGTCCGTTTGGGAAGAGTTATTTTAAATTTTTTTGACTATTTTAATTACAAAAGACAAAATAGGTTATTTTAATCATAAAAAATAAAACATCACGTTCAACCCATAATCATTACACTATTCTCTCACCAAAAAAGTCAAAAAAATTAAAAAGTCAAAAAAAAAAATTTCAAATTAAATTTTTTAACTCAAATTAAAATAATCAAAAAAAATTTAAAAATTAAAAAACCAATCCACTTCTTATGGATGATAGCGGCTTAGGATTGGTTTGGAACGTGGGTTGTTTTTTTAATTTTTTGATTTTTTTAATTTAAGTTAAAAAATTTGGTTTAAGAAAGATTTTTTAATTTTTTGATTTTTTTTTTGTGAAAGAAAAATATAATAATTATGAGCTGAATGTGATGTTTTATTTATTATGACTAAAATAACCTATTTTATCTATTATGACTAATATAGTTAAAAAAATCCATAAAACTACTTCCCAAATGGTGCCTTAGTAATATTTGAATTTATCAAAACCGATCCGACCGATAAATAAGGGCAATGGTAGAGGGCCACAATTTTTGTGGCTCAAATGGCTCAAAATTGTCAAAACGACGTCGTTTTGAGCACAAAATATGCCAAAACGACGTCGTTTTGACAGTTTTGAGTCATTTAAGCCACACAAATTGTGGCTCTCAAACATTATTCGATAAATAATACGTATATCTAGCTAAAAAATCTGATCAAAAATGCTTTAGACCACTAATTAGTGGTGGCTCTAATGATGTGGCAGTGGGTCCCACCCACTGCCACATGTGTTTTGTGCCTTGTTTTTTTCTTTTTTTTCTTTTTTTTTCAATTGCCACCTCACTAGTGGTGGGATTAGTGATGATAAATTAGTGGTCTATAGCATTGCTCAAATCTGATACTTTGATGGTTGTGTGCATTTTCTTTGTCAGCCACTTTAGTAGTTGTGTCCATTTACTCTTGTGAAAGACCAAGAGTCAGGCTGAAACTTCTCAATTCACGTCTATCAAGGAAAACACTCATCTCTTTGATCTCTGCCATTCTCTCTCTCTCTCTCTCTCTCTCTCTCTCTCTCTCTCTCTGATCTTTTTTATCTTTACCTCTACTGTTCTCTTCCTCTTAAATCAACCCTCCAGTGAAATTGCTTGACACTGCTTTTGTAGATTACGTGTCAGAAATCCCTTTCAAAGTTCGATCCCATCAATGTTGCGGACGATGTCAGTGAGATGAGTGGCAGTAGCGTTGGCGATAGACGATGACGGTTGTGAGTTTGTCGTTTCTCTCGCATATCTGTGTTGAAGGTGGTAACGATGGAGATAGACGAGAAAAGTCATGAGTTTGCCGTTTATCTTACAGATCTGTGTTGATTTTATTTTAACTTATATGTATGTATATGCAATATATCATCATATATGTATCAATGTGATATTTGAATAGATTTTTTTTTTTATACCCTAACTGTCTTCATCTCATGGATTTTCAAAATCGATCGAACCAACCGCTAAATCATGTTATCTAGTTCGATTGATTTCGATCGATAGATCAGTCGAAAATGGATGAGCAATTTCTTCACCTGAGGGTATCGGTTCAGATAATGGTTCAAGGGTAAACTTGACCTGTACTGACCCATGAACACCCTTAGTGTATTGTGGGGATATATTTTCTGAATACCAACACGTGGCATGGTGACGCTGACGTGTTGGCCGAGGTGCCACGTGTCTTGGTCATTGTGCCGAGGTCATCTCGGCTAGGCTGAGGTTGCCTCCGAAGATATCAGAATCCGAGATAAGCGGATAAGGGACAAGAGTCCTAAGACGATGAGGGGACTTAACCAAGATAAGGATAAAACTCTTAGGGAGTTTATCTTTATTTCTTGAGGAGTCCAAAGTAAGCACAGAATTGGAGTGCATAGAAGTCATACTTCTAGTGGGACTTGGATTGAGTATAATATAAAAGAGAGGCACCCCCGTGGGTCTAAGGTATGCAATTTATGTTTTGAGTATTAAGTTTTGCACTTGATTATCTTTGAGAGATATACTGACTTGATTATCGGAGTGCCCCCGGGTGGAAGAACCACCGCCGGAGCTCTTTCTTTCTGTTTCAGGTTGCTTAAGCCATCTATTCCGCTTGTGCTCTCCAGCTGATCACTAAACGGGCAGTGTGGTCAGATTTTCACCCACACAATTTGGAATATTAAATATTGCCATGGCCTATGGCGGAAGTTTTTCGGTGGCTGATGAAGATCTGCAGAACAAAGAAACAGATGTCAGAAACAGAAAGTATTAAAGACTTAAATAAAAACAACTAAGTGTTGGCTCAGGGCTCTTACCCTTGCCCTCTGAAATTGTTCGAGGAAGAGGGTAGAGGTGGACATCTTCGTCTGGGCCAAATTCCCAATTTCCCGACGCAATAACAAAGTCATCTCCAGCCCCCTTGTTGGAGTCTGGAAGGTCGGCTACAATTTTAAACTGGGTGGATCTCGGCTTAAGGTAATAAACGAAGCCCCTATCCTTCAGGTTGAGGGGACACATGGTATAGCAGTACTGAAGGTCGGCCAGGGTGATTCTAAGATTCTCCTGCCTAGCTAAAGCTATAATACCGTTAATCACCCTATATGAGTTGATAGTAAGTTGCATGGGGTTCAGCCTGTAGAAATGAAGAACTTCACGAAAAAGGGGGTGAAGTGGAAGCCGAAGTCCACATTCGGTAAAAGCTACTATAGGAAAAGGCATTGTATGATCTGTGGGCATGATGGTATCATTATCCCCAGCTAGCTTAAGGTGAACATCGGCTGGGATAGAGAATTCCTGCCTAAAGTATTCAAGTTTTGTTGGGGTATTTACCCTATGCCTCCACATACCCATTATGTCAGCTTAAAATATGTTTCAGAAGATGAGCGTTTTTAAAGGGTTACAAGAACCTCGGCAAAGACCCAGGAAAGGGCTGATAAGGCTTGTTTCAGTTTTCCCTAAATTTGAAGGTTCTACGCACAAATCCCAAACCTAAGAACTATAAAGATCAAGATCGAAGGCACAGATCTGGGACAGATACAAAAAAAAAGAGAAAACAAAGACGAAGTTTCAGATTCAAGAACAAAGATGGACTATCATAAACACGAAAAATACAAAGGGATAAAGGTCAAGAATTATGGCAAGAAAAATATTGAAATAGTACAAATGTTCAAAATATGGGAGAAATCGAGCAACAAAGCAGTAATGATAAAAGCGCATAAAGGAAATTAAGAATGAAAGGAAAGGATCTTACCAGAACAGATGAAGCCGGGGCAATGTTCGCCGAGCTCAGAAATCGGTTGCAACAGCAAAGAAAGCTTCACAAGAATGGGAGATTAAGGACAGTTCCAGAAGAGAGATCGAAACAA